GTCTCCCAGGTGGGGTTACTGGTGCAGTTTCCAGGTCACCTTTCAACCCAGATCAGCCCAGCAGTGGCTTAACTGGTGCTGTAAGGAGGTGCTGAAGGCCCAGCTGGCCTTACGGGCGACACCTCGTCATCAGTTCCGAAAGCCCGACCGGAGCACGGCACTGACCTCCTCCTTCAACGGTGTCGTTCGCAGGGGCGCCTGTAGGGGGAGCCGGAGAGTCAGGCCCCTGCGAGGCAGCGGCGGCGAATCCACAGCCAGGAAGGAAGGAAGGGAGTGGGGGGGCGCGATGGGGCTGCGCTCCGCCCAGAAGAAGCTGTTCCCCCTGCGGGGCATCGACGGGGTGGTGGCGCTGTTCGAGGCGGAGCTGGCGCGGGCCGAGCCGGACCTGGCGCTGCTCTCCCTGGTGCTGGGCTTCGTGGAGCACTTCCTGGCGGTCAACCGGGTGGTGCCCGTCAACGTGCCCGGCGTGCGCTTCGAGCCCCTGGACCCCGGCCGCCCCTCCTCCTCCTCCTCCTGCTTCCCCGTGGTGGAGCTGGGCCTGGTGTCCGCCCTGCACGCCCGCTTCACGGCCCAGATCCGGGGCGCCGTCGACCTGTCCCAGTACCGCCGGCCCGCGGGGGGCTCGGGCCGCGAGCTGGTCAAGAAGGTGTCCGACGTCATCTGGAACAGCCTGAGCCGCTCCTACTTCAAGGACAGGGCGCACATCCAGTCTCTGTTCAGCCTCATCACCGGTGAGGGTCCCCCGGGGGAGCGGGGGCGGGGGGGGGTCGACGTGCTGGTCTAGTGACCCCGGGGAGCGAAGACCCCCAGTCTCCACGCCGGTCTGTCTGTCTGTCTGTCTGTCTGTCTGTCTGTCTGTCTGTCTGTCTGTCTGTCTGTCTGTCTGCAGCCTTCCAGGCCCGGGGCTGGACTGTGCTGCCCAGGCTGTGTCCCTGACTGAGCTAGGGGGCGCCGCTGACCCCCCTGACCTGACTGAGCTGGGGGGACCGGTGACCTCACTGACCCCCCCTGACCTGACTGAGCTGGGGGCACCGCTGACCTCACTGACCCCCCCTGACCTGACTGAGCTGGGGGCGCC